TAACCATTCTTTGGTCGGAGATTTATTTGTGAAGGGCAGGCCGCGACGTAGAATGAAGTTGACGCCCTCGCGGCGAGGTGGAGTTTCCAGATTAGCCGGCATCCTGCAGTCACTCAATTCGCGACAAATCATACATTTGCAATCCTTGTCTTCGCATGATTCTCGTTTTATTGATGGCATGTCATCAGAAACTTTCATGTAAATACATTTTGTGAACTGAAGCTTCTGTTATTCGATCGATTCTTTGGGAAAAGGAATCAGAAGAATTAAAAATAGAAAATGATGAATTCTAAATGTGTAGTGATCATTCACCCATATCTCAAAGGATGTCCGCTTTTTCGTAATTATTCGAAGAATTATTCCGATTATCAAAGACGTAAAACAATTTCCTTGACTCGAAGGAAGATTAAATTTGATGAGTAACTTATTGGTGATTAATGCTCGAGGAAATTGGAAAGTATAAAAGTGATGGTTTCTTGAATTATTTAAATTGATTTGATGAAAGAAAGTAAATGATTTTTCAGATACTCGAAGTAGAAAATTATTTTCTTATATCATTCACTGTTGCTTCAATATTTATACTCAAATTAAAAATCATCTTTTTCACTTTGCAATTTAAGCACAATTAAAAAATCACAAATAATTTCTTCTTCAACACTTTACGCAATCTTTTTTGATGCAAGTTTAAATACACAAAAATTTCATCCTAAATTAAACTATATCCAATTCCATTTTATGTACTAATTCTACTATTGTTCAATCTTTCGATAGGTTCGTTTCAATATTGGATTGATACGTTTCACTTATGATCAAATAAATCTTGAATGATCGCGTCGTTTTTGTTCTGTTCCCCCGTTCCGACACGCGACTGGAAACACTATGATCCACAGTGACGGGATCAACAGGTGAAACGCATGCACTTCCTGCGCGAACCGCAATGTCGGCGAATAGAGCACAATCTCCCGTATCACTTTCCTTTCGTTGTTTCTTTTCTCCGTGAGTACACCACAACGTAACAGTGTCACAAAAGCGGGAGCATCGACGGTTATCGCATGAGAATATCTTTTTTCCTCTTTTCCTTTTCTTCTTTCGCTATATTCTATCTTTTTCTTCAATGAAAATACTGATAATGAATTTTGACTTTTGTAATCAAGAGATATATTGTATTTGTGGAAAATTTTTTTTTATTATTTATATTTTTGCGTAAATTAGGATAGAATAAAAAGAAGTGGATTAAGATTGATTCAAAAAATATATCAAACATTTTTTTTTTTATGTTTCGAATTGGATAATTGGTACGTTGTAAATCATTTTATTTCCTCTTTTAAGATAAACATTTCACTGGGCAGAACTGTGGAAAAAATTATAAAGTATATTTTTTTATTTTCCCATTGTTGTTCATATAATTCAATTCAAAATATTCGCAGAACATCTTCAATTAAATTAAATTCAATATCTCAAACGGTTTACCAAATCTCTTGCATAGTTGGAGAATGCGGATTCGTGAGTGATTCGGCTCTCACTCGTTCTGATTCAAATCCATTTTTGACCGGCAGAAATTTCATTATCCAAGAATTCGTGAGAAATCGTAAGAAATGCTTGCAAGAACACCAAACATAGAATACAAGAGATCAATTACGCGCGTTCACGCACACGGACTTTCACCGTTCTGCTCCGTGGAAAATTGATTCCGAACGAAATATCTCCAATTTCTAGTTACAGCCATCAATATATTAGAATTCATCCATAAATTACTTTGCAAATATCATTTTATACTTCAAACGATGCTATCTCTTTGCTTTATTTAACTGTGAAGTTGTTGTTATTATGCTATTTCATAAAATTATTCAGTCATTTGGATTACATATATTTCAGAAGTACTGTTAGAAAAAGATGAATGAAGATTTTATGATTTACAAGCATCGACAGATGTTAAAATTCTCTTCTAGGAAAATTAATCATATGATAATTTTTAATAAATCGATTTTAAAAAAAATATTTATAGATCCTTCTTTTAAACACATTCATATTAAAAATATATTCACAAAAATATAAATAATTATAAATGAATTAAATGTATTAATAATTTTAAATTAAATCACTTCATACTTTAATTCAATAAAGAGTGCACAATTATGAACTAAAGAATTATTACAACATCCATAATAATTCCTTGCCAAACTATTTTACATTTCGAATGATTATCCACTACACTCTTTTATAAGATACGTACAAATCACAAGAAACTACTTAAAAAAGTAACCAGAATTATAAAAAAAAAGAATAAAAAACAATAATAATAACAATAACGAGATATAGAGATATAGAATTAAAATTCTCGATAATGTTTCACGATAGGACAAGAATAACGCACGGCGCGGTGTTCTACTTTAATCCGTGATCGGTGTATTACGCACGCGTCATCAGTTTCTTGTCCTGCTCCGTGGCGTGGTTAAGTGCTGGCTGCCACTTGTAAACTGTTATGCTCTTTTCACTGGACAGAGAGCGTAGGAAACGGGAGAGTGCAAACGAACAGTGTCTTTAGAAACCCCACCATGTACGTATGTATACATATATGTTGTTACATATGCACATAGCGTTTACATTTGCATTTGTTTCGAGGGAGAATTTCCGGCGACCATCCTACTTCCTATGACTCGAATCGCCCTAACCACGTCCCGTGACGATTCTTGAACATATAGCTGTTCGCCATCCTTTCATCGTACTCTTTCAATCCCTTTTCTATGCAAAACGTCGTTTATCATGATCAAAGGGCGTAAACTATTAATTGGTAAGGTTAGGAAACGTGATTGCATGTGTGAATGAAATATAGTATACGGTATACAAATACCTGAATATAGTAAACGGTTCAGTGAACGGTTTTTAACTTTGTGTGTGCTAGTATAAAAAGTGACTTTTGGTTTAATTATATTTCAAATAGTTAATATATAAATAATTCTAATAATATTTTTATCTTATATTTTAATATTCGATCAATAAATTTAAATAATTGAAATAATAATATTTATATTTTCGTATAATATAGGAAATAATGAAAAGTAGGCAGATAGTGTCCTATTTTCGATAATCTCTTATAATGGCAAAGAAAATTCTCAAGAATTTTCCTAGCATAGATAATTATGGTACAAGACATACAATGCGGAAAACAGACAATTAAGTAGGTCAAAATTATTTCTAGAATACTATCATAAAAGAATATATGATTTTCCAAATTTTTTTACTTATATTTTAATAAATTACTCTCTTCAATTTTTTTTCAATAAAATTTACTTATAGGTAAATGAATAAGGATTTTTTTTTAAATTAAAAAATTGTTAAAATATATTTTAATTAAAGAAAGAAAAAAATAATTATTTTCTTATAGATATATAATAGATATATAATAAATCTTAAGATGAATGATCATAAAATATTCTAATTAATCTCGAATAGTATTGTTCCTGTTGAAATACATCCATGATAAATTCGTGTGAAAGTCATAAAGTAATTTTACTCCCTAGACAAACCGGTCTTTGTTTTTTCCCACTTTTATGAACTACATTCTATAATATACGTGTATATGAATACAAACTAGATTATTATTAAACTTTGTTAAAAATTATTATTATTAATTATACGTTTGGAAATTGTACATGATATTAGCTTTTAACTATTATTTTAACTAATATAATTTACATAAATTGATAGACTGAATAATATTTTATTGAATAATATGCAATGCATGATTTATTTTATAATTTTGTTTTCTTATAATTATCTTTTAAAAATTTGAAAATCTATTTTTATAAACTTTTAAAAAATATCTTCAATAATGTATTTTAATAAATTAAAAAATTTATCAATAAAAAGTTGTTCAAATAATTTTAAGTTTTTTTTTTAAATAATTTAATTGTAATATCTGAATAAAAGTAATGATTTCCAAAAAAAATTGAAATTCAAAAAAAAATCTCAAATCATTTTAATCCATCTTCTTTGAATATTAGTCACATTTCATCAGCATATAATTCTTCATTCATAAATTCACTTTTGTCCCATTTGAATAAAGAGATCTTTCTCTTTTATATCGCCTAATTAAAGGCCAATTAAATTTATCTGAATTATCGGTTCTCTGAATTCTCTTTCAATGAACAAACGGAACATTTGGCCCGATCGTTTTATTCGTGTTGCGTACATCTTTTCTGAGAATGCACAGAACGACGGAAGTTTTTAATCTAATAATGCGTCCACTAAAAGAAAGGTTTTTACAAAGAGGAGTTCAAGGCGTATACACATTACATATATTGTCCGTGCTCATCTGGCGAAACTCCGGTGTCAAGGGCGACAATCATTGCAACTAAAGGATATTAAATTAATTGGCGAACCGTGTCTTCTTCCTCTAACGTCATGATATAAATAATAAAAAAATTGTAAAAAAAATTATGTAGGTATCCTTATGTAACTGTGTTGAAAATTGTACTATATAATTTTTCTATTTGACTTCTACATTATAAATGGCTTAGTCTATAAAATTAATAATACAAATACTATAAAACATAAATAGCTTTCGCAATTTTGTATTCATAATATCATCCTATCTTTTATCATTTTTATCAATATTCAATATTTTAATATTAATAATACTAAATTTATTTAATATTAAAAATTTTAAATTTTAGTTTTATTATATTACATCTGTTGACACAAGCAATCTTTTAACCGTTGTAATCATTTCGTAAATATGTTACATATGTACTATATTCTTATTTAAGCCTAAATTCATCTAAAGTTTGACTCACATCCGGTAATTAAGAATTCAGTCTGAGTCATCAATTCATTCACTAGAGTGCTAAAGCCATCTTGTTCTAATTAAACTCAGCAATTCTAGTAAAATCATTCTTTTACATCGTTTGCATCAATTATACATATGTCATCTAAAATTCAAATATAAATAAAAACTGTATAGATCACAATTATTGGAATTAAAATGATGCACGTTTCTAACGAATTCTAACAGTAAAATCTCGGATGAAAAGAAATGACACGGATCTGAACAGAACAATAAATATTTAAATTATTCAAAGCGGAAAGACCAGAATTTAATCAGGTGGAAAAAAGATGCTATATATACATAAATTTTAGTGAACTGAAACGAAACACTTCAATAGTTAGAAATGTTAGAAGTGGAATGGAATCGGAGCGGAAACTTCAATATTTATCTCGAAGTTTTGCCACCTATTAACACAGTATCTAATATACGAAATAAATAAGTAAAATCGTATTTCACCAGCTATGAATGTGTAAAACGAAACGACGTATGCTTCCTCATCCATAAAATCTATTACATCGTATCGAATCAGTGAGCGAAGTGGTGATTTAATAGTTTTTGAAATTTTCCAACATCAAATCCTGTTAACTTGGTTGGCAAGTGTCTGAATCTTGGGTCAATCCTATCGTAAAAAATATATCCACCAAATTTAATAATTTCGATTTATTATGATAGGATAATAACATTATATTTTTTTCTTAAAGAAAAAAAATTTTAATAATTTGCTATCGAATAAATCGAAAAAAAAGAATTGTATATCAAAAGATAAGAAAATAATAATTAATGCAATTAATAGAATATAATAGTATTGATTTATTAAATTCAAACTCCGATGAAATGACATTTCACATATACTAACCTAACCTTCACACGATCAAAATTAACACATAATTAAATCGATTCTTCAACATAAATTGCAACAATACACTTTCCATTTTTATTCAATTCACTAACGAACAAGGACGAACATTATTGATTCTCACTTTTTATCTTTCATTTTCGAATTTCCTTTTCACTATATTAATTAACTAATCGTTGCATATTAATACTTTCATGAAAAAAATCAATCTAATTGATTCTCATTGTCATTTTTCAATTCTTCTGTTCTAATGTTGGGCAATGAAATAGAAATTTCAAAGAATTTCACGTAATCATGTGAAAGGAGATTTTTAAATTCATTTAATTAGTTATCTGAAAGTAGAGGAAATCGTAACGGGAGATAAAGAGAGAGAATGAGAACCGGGTGATCGCGATAATGATGCGCGTGAGAGGATGTACGCCAATGCTTAGTCAGATCTGATCGAGATATTTAGGTTAACGGCCTCTCTTCTTTGCCTTCCTTCTTCTTTTCGTACAGATGATTTTAACTGTTCATTGACAAAGTTAAATTGATTTAGATTTTTATTTTTTTTTTTTTTTTAC